GTTCCATTCTATACAGCATATAGGCTCTTTCTAATAGAATTTACTTCAACCCTTCTAAATGAACATTGATAGATTATGAATAAGAAAAACAAAAACACATAGATCTATTAAGTTACAAGGGTTTATCGACTTTACAAAGTTCTTTCATAAGTTAAGATCATTGATTGAGAAAATTAAAATTTCTTTTTTCAATCGAGAAGTATCTATAGGTTTACTATGACTGTTATTCTTCCTCTCAATCATAACAACGTGTGGCATGAATAAGAACTGAATTTAAATGTCAACCATTGTGCAATAAATAATCGGTTGGTTTATTGAATGTATACATATGTGAGCTAAATCTGTAAATTGTGTAGGTGATGATTTAAAAAACTAATGAACATTAGTTTTTTATCGTTTGATTCAATTATCTTCACTTATCACTAATTTCAAATGGTAGAACACTAAGTAAAGTTTTTCAAGGAATGTCACATACATATTCGAAGGGGTTTTTGTGGATACTATAGTAATTTCAATGATTGAGAACATGAGTCAATTGAAGCTAGATCACCATGGAAAACATGGAAGTACTGGACGGCCGTTTCGTTTTATTATTGGACTCCCCAGCAGTGCGCATCCACGATCCTGCCTCGTGAGGTTCTAACCCAGGACCTATCAGTTTCGCGCGCGAGCGCTTAACCTGTAGACCACTGAGATGCCTGGCATCCAAGGATGCTAATGTTTAACTTCAACCAATGCCCTTAAATGCCTTGATACAGTCGGGAGTGGGGAGAATCAGATTTTCCTCTCGAAATGCACTCACATGAACATGTGCATACAACCACTACAGGAGAAGCTCCACTCACTGCCTTCTCGCAACATTATTGTTGTTTACGAAATTCAAAGGATGAAAAGCGAATGTCCGGCACTTTATCCGGGTCAGTGGATATGAAAGTTCACTGAAGGGAGTTGAAAAACTCTGATTCAAAACCAATGGTGCACATGGACTCACGTATCCTGAAGAAACAAATGGCGTATGAACCAATCGTTAGTCACTGTCTACCATGAGACTGCATCTTTTGACCTTGCTCCACTGCCTTGTGGATTAAACGTTTAGGTCGAATGATCCATGTGTAAGAGAACCAACCGTTTCGGTTTTGGCACCCGTGCAGTATCTCAGCCCTCACACAAATCGAATGATTTATGTGAAGCATACGTATTTGGTGCCTCCTTGTATCAATGTTTATATGTTTAAATAAATCAATCAATCAATTCACGAAATTAAGCGACTTATCCACCATAGTCTTCAGTAATTTACTACCTCATAACAGATCTGGTTAAACATATATATTCATTTATCTTGAAACACCTTGAGATGATTTCACAAATGATCATATATTACTAAAAGCCTGATGATCGTCTAACTCAATATAAATTACTGATTAGTATAGGAATAAACTAAACAGATGAATCAAAACATACTATCAGTTTAAAAGGTTAGTTAAATATAAACTTTCTGAACAAATTTCATTAGTTTCTTTAAGTGAAATTTCTTATTATAACATATCATAAACATTATCATTCATGAACTACTAAATAGAAATAATAGAAACAATTAAACAACTAAATCTATATGAAATTATTCATCATATCAATATATAACTTATTCAAAGTACATTTTAAAAATTATTGTGCGAACATTTTGTTTTAACCATTATCAAAGGTTATTTTATTTTTGTTTATTTTCGGGGTTTTTTTAAAAAAAAAAAAAAACACTAATCTAGTTTACATTTTATTTATTATCTATTAATTAAAAGAAAGAAAAAAAGTAAATAATATTTTTATTTAGATTGATTGACAGAAATATTGTTTATTTGAAACTATAATACAAAATATTTTGTTGATAACACATTTATTTTTTCACAAATTGAAATCATGAGTCAGTTGAAGTTAGACCACCATTGAAAACCTGGAAGCACTGGACGACCGTTTCATCCTAGTATGGGACTTCTCAGCAGTGCGCATCCACGACCCCGCACCACCCGGAGCTCGAACCCAAGACCTACTGGCTTCGCGCGCGAGCACTTGACCATTAGACCACTGAGCCGGCATCTAACGGTGTTAATGTCTAACTTTAACCAATCCACGAAGTTGCGCTACCGTACACCATTGTCCTCAGCTTCAACTGACTCATGATTTCAATCTGTGAAAATTTCTAAAAATCTCCACATTTATTTTTACTAGCTATCTTGTTTAAAGTCTCAATTCAGATATTATGATTCAGGTTTCTGGAAAATTCTATCTTTATTTGTATTATTATTATTATTAGAAGCTTTATTCAACATTATATTTTTGGTACAACATAGAATTCTCAGCATAAACTATTTCAACAATTTTCCTTTTCTTATATCTTGATCGATTGTGACGATAAATTTTGAAAGGTGACCGGTTAGATGTTAGGAGTTCGGTAATCCACATTTGATTATTGTTCATTCGTTTCAATGTATATTGCCAGCCACCATGATGTCGCTGATTGTACGTTTTTGTATCACGTATAGCGAAAGGTTGTAAACTTTTCATAAACGCGCCTGAATAGATTGTGAGCACAATAGACATAATGATGTGCTAAAACAAACAACAAAACAGATAACTTGAAGAAATATCTAGATCGGAGGAACAGGTAGCCCAGATATTAAAGCAGGCCGCCAAGATGTTTTTTTAAAAAAAGGCTGAGGAAAGAAAACAAATCGAATTTGGATACCATTATTTACCTTAACTAATATGACCTAAAGAATAGTATAATATATAAGACAATATATTTTAAATGAAATTGAAGATAAACCATTCAATAAGTAACATAAATAACAAAATAAATGATGATCATATTTCTAAAAAACTTTTAATTTAAAAAAAATGTTAATGCATATTGTAGTAAACAAAAAAAACTGACAGATTTAAAAATAAAAATTAGGCCTCACATTGGAACAGTTCGAATCTTCATGGTAATTTTAACAACTGAATTTCTAAGGTCATTGAACAGTTGTTCATTCACTGAAAAAAAAAAAATAACATTTAACTTTTATATATGAATTACGAATTGAAAGTAATACTGAAATAATTTTACAAAATTTATGACCATACATTACTGCATTCTAAAGAAGAAAAAAGAAAGAAAGAAAACAATCGGTTAGATCACAATACACCATAGAATTTAACTTTTTTTTCAAATACCAACAGCGAATTTATGTCGGATGCCTTAAAGCTCAAAGTCTTGATTTCATTATTCAATTGGAAATAGTTTGTTAGAATATCAACGTTTGATAGTAATAAACTAGCGTCAAGGTCTTTCTTCCTGTGTCTGGTTTCAGACACTTCTGTGGACATATACTGCCAACGGGTGTGCTGAATTTAGGTTAAAAGAACTTGATTATCAGTTGTTGTGTTTTAATGTAAACTTTACAGTGTCTTAGTTTAAATTATAAGACTGTGTAAAAACTTTCGAAGTTGTTTAACCAACGGTTAAACGGTTTTTGTATGATTTATCAATTTTATTGAACATTTCAAAGTGGATATCATTTTTTCATTTAGATCCAATGAATAAAAATGGAGATCATGGAAAATAATTTTTCCACAAACTAATGTATTAAAATAAATTAAAACACCTACAATCCGATCAACAATGTCATTGATGACATAAAATTCACTTCAGTAAAAGATTCGAACAACAAATTATCATCATTTGATATACTAATCACCAGAACTCCTACGAAAAAAAAACTGGAAACTCAAGTATATTGGCAGCCAACCCACTCTGATCAAATAATCATTTATAGTAGCAACAACCCGAGAATTCACAAAATCAACTGCGTACAAACTACATTCAGGAGGGCGGGAACATATACGAATAAAACCATTTAGTGACGACCTTTAAAAAGAGTGGCTATTGACGCAGGTTCATCAAGCGATATCAATACCACTCATTAACAAAAGTGAAATTCGGTTATAGAAACCGACAAATGGATCATCCTACTGTGTATAAAATACATGTCCGAAATTACAATGGTATTGTTGAATCAGTTTAGAACGTCTGCAGCACATAAAGTGGCAAGATTACTTCAATCAATCTTATGCAAGGCAAAGGACGATGTGACAAATAAGAAAAACCGAATATCATCTACAAAATAAGCTGTTACAATTCGGTACAACACTACATTGGAGAAAAAGAACGCCCTCTTCATCTTCACCCCCATGAACAACAATTAGCAGTCAAACTTCATGACCTATCCATGCTTATATCAATGCACGTGAACAACTATGGAAACACTTTCGACCGAAAAAATGTTGAGATCATGGATAGTCGGAATTTCAAAAACACTAGGGAATTTTTAGAAGCTTGGCACTCAAGTCAATCAGCAGTCAATATACACATCGAAATTGATCCAATCCATCAACCAATAATAAAAATCATGGACAAATATAGGACAAAGAATCAAGTCAAAGGGAGATACAATCAAAATAAAGAGGTAGACAATGATAGGTTAGAGGTCAACAACGACCGATCAAGATCGAAGTCGTTCTTCACCCCTCCCATCTCTTTTTCTAAATATACGCTTCACTGTTCAATTATCCACACATTCCTCATTACGTAATCTTATAGATTTTATGAATGTTATTCCAGCATCTTTATTTTTTAAGTAATTGACCTATTTTCCATGATGAAACATGGATTCAACGCTGTGTTAGTCTCATCACAACTAGTACACCTGTCATCATGCTAACAATTTGTACTCTTTACTTATTGTATGTATTTATGTAATCTATTCCACTGTTATCATTAATTCATAAACAGCCTTAATTTGTTTAATAATTTCATATATGCATATAAATATTACTGTATATTAGAGTAAAGCCTGATGAAGATCTAATTGAAAACAATATTGTTTATTTAAATATTTTGTTTTAATTTATCACATTAACCATTGAAATTATGGTTTTCTATTTTGTTTTTATTCACATTTTAGTTGGCGATTATCTTGAAAAAGAATCTCGTGTATTTGAACAAAAATGGTCACACCCAACTCAAGTGAGTTATGCAACTTGAATAAATGATATATATCAAGGACATATTGTTTCATTAGTTTAAATAGTGATGATTTAACAAATTTAAAATATTGAGGTTATTCTCTGTCTATTCTGTTTATGAATCTCTTTATTTTATTTTTAATATTCAACTCTCGGTTAATTGAAATATGCCCATATTCATGAATGGAATTTTGTACACCATTTTTAAAAATTACTTTATATTCAGTTCGATAATTTTCTGAACTACAGAGTTCAAACTTAATTAGAGATGATGAAGATTTGTAGCTCAGATGGATGATTTAAGTGGAGTTTTTTTGTCTGACGAAACCATCCAGCTCAAAGAACAAAAATCCACCTAAAACTTAATTAACTTATGAATGTGATTGTATTTCTTATTTCGACTAAACAGAAACGTATTTAGTTAATTACTAATATACACGCATAAACAACAAAGGCAAATTGAATCAGTAATATATGTAATTCAGTTAAAACCACGTTTTTCTAATCAAGCCAACAACACTGTTATGAAACTGACACTGAAAACTACGTTGACTTTAAGTTTTGATTATAAGATTTCTATTATTGGTGTTTAAGGGTTTATTCAAGACACTAGTTTTCAAAGTGGCATTACAATTACACGTTATTTACAAATCAAATTTGCAATTATAACCGAATTAAAATCCTTTGAATTAATGAATTTGTATTCCACTGGTGGTTTTCAAACCAATCCTTAGAACTGATACTCAACACTTCAGATTCCACCACATTGTTCATCAGATCACTTAAATACGATAGGTAATATTACTTTTCACTGAGTAAAATCTATAACAAAGTTAAAAGTTCAAACACCTAGGAATTCTTTTAAGGAACTCATATGCTAAAAAGAGACCATTTAATTCAGTTTTCAATATGATCTGCGGTAAAATGAAAACCTTTAAATTTATAAGTCTCAGAATTGTTATCCCTTGTGTTTTGATTTTTCTTTAACTAGTTATCTAAAGTACTGTAAGACCTGAGATAGTAAAATGTTGGTTTTCGCTCCTGTTAAAGCTCTCACTACTAACTCAGAAACATTAAACTAATAACTCTTAAGTAAAATCAATCTTAGGTCATGACGTTTCATTCTTTTAACCCACAACGCGGTAAGAAACTCAAACGACGTCAACATTAATGAACACTTGTAAGAAACTGATAAATCAATAGAGAATTTTTCAAAAGCTAATAATTAACTTAGTTTTTGTAACTGAACATACAAAAAATTACCATCTTACTGAAATGTGTATAGTTTGTAAATTTTTTAGAACTGTCATTAAAAACCTCTTGATTTTGGACTTTAAGTAATCCGAATTCAATATATATACGACCGTAATGGAAGCAGTACAGTGTGACTATTGTTACATTCTCATGAAACTTTATATTAACACAAAATTACGAAATATCGTTTATCAGTTGCTACTCATGAGGTGGCTGAATGGTTAAGGTGTCCGATTTTCAATCATTAATGAGTTGCAGCTACCGCCACTAACCTTCAAACTTGATGCCAAGTACATGAATCTGTATCTGCCAAATAAGTTAAATAGTTGATATAAACTTCATTAATTTGTTACTCCACTCTACATGAACGAAATGGGGCTTAATGGTAAGTTCAGATAGACCATATGATGGACAAATGTCTAATTAATATTATTCATATTACTAAATTGAGTATATTGAGTTCGTTCAAACAACTCATCTATAAACACATAAATGCTCAGCTACAAAGTACAATAACACGTAGTAACAACCACAAAATTACAATTCCACATCAACATTAAACTAAATATCCTAAGCCAAATAGAAAATACCACTACAAATGATTCATTCTGTAGACGTGATCATATAACTGTCTGAAACAATAAATCTTTTTGAATCTATTACCTGAATAAAATAATCCAAATTAGAATAGTTTTCTCATATAACTTTCCTTTAACTTTATTTAAACGTATGCTGACCATATCTTATACCTTATTTTACTTAAAATGTTTAAATTAACAAACGTCTACTGATTGATTTATCAAATAAACAAATACAATATAGATTTTTAAGATAAATCTATGTACAATCGTTTACATTTCACAAGTTATTGACATCATTATATAACTTTTACATATTTTGCGTAAATGAAATGATATTTACAATGTCACTTAGAAATAGATTTCCATCATGAATGGAAATTATTATTAACTGAATATACAATGTTATTTATTGTCTTTGATTCATTTTAAAATTTGTAAATTTATTTAAAACCATAAAGGAATATGTTTTAATAAATACACAGACATTGTTATATAATCCTACTTCTTTTCTCTTTTATTTTTTGCATTTTAATTTCCATTTGTCAGAGTAATGCAACCTTGAATCAGTTCGATCGTATAAAAACACTTGGTACAGGATCATTTGGTCGTGTCATGTTAGTGAAAGATAAAAAGACACAGATGTATTACGCAATGAAAATTCTAGAAAAACAAAAAGTAATTAAATCTATTTTTCTTCTGTTTCAATTATACTGATTATCAAATTTTTGTTTTGATAAAAATTGAGATCAATTTAAGCTAATCTAATAGTTAAGCGCTCACGCGCGAGACTGTTAGGCCTTGGGTTCAAATCTTGCGAGGAAGGATCGTGAATGCGCACGGCTGAGGAGTCCCAAAATAGGACGAAACAGCCGTTCAGTGCTTACAGGTTTTCTATGGTGATCTAGCTTCAGCCGACTCGAGTTCAACTATTAATCTTTCGAAATTATTATCAATTTTATATCAATCACTTAACAGAGTGTTCAATTGATAATGATTCTTAATTTACGTATATCACCACTGCGGGCACTGCAACATATTATTACCGAAAAAATCAAATGCATGTTGTCCACTAAATTCATATAGACGTTCAATGATGACATAATGATGTCCTGTTATCTAATAATTAAACAAGCAACGATTGAATAAATTTTAAGTAATTATGAAATATGACAAATGAAATTCTGATATTTTACTGTATCTATGTAGTTAGTCAGTTATTCTTGTGGTGTAGGTTACTTATATCCACACAAGTAGTATATAACGGTGGTCAGGCATAGAATGTATTTCAGTAGAAGGTTGATGAGGAAAGAACGGGAACGGAACACAATTGGTATGAAAATGCAGGAACAATGAAATCTGAGACAATGGACCGATATTCACAAAAGAAACAGTCAAGTTTGAGACGATGGGTTGACATTTTGCAAATTAACGATTTACTATATGGTTCTCAGATTCTAGTGAAATGCTCTGTAATTTCGTGTCAAATACATTTTAGTTGTCCCCACTCGTTTTCTTGTTCACTGCAATTCTATTTTGTTTCTGTTATGTACTCGACATGAGGCTGCATTATATAAACAAGTTATCATTTCGGTCACTCCATCTATTCTAATTAGTTCAATAACCAACTAAATCATCATAATGAGTTTCTGATCATTCCTGGCGTTAAGAGACAAGTTATAAATTTTAGATCATTGCAGACTAAAATTGATACTCAGGTAGAGAGTTTCATTCTCCTAGATCATACTTTAGTTGATAGATAGCTCTGACTAATCATTACATTGTAACTACTAATCTATGTATTGACTGGAAATTCATTTAAACTAACCTGTAATATATATGCAACTTATATCGTTATCATTATCAACAACATCAAGAAGTAGCATTAAAAAGAGATGGATAGTGGCTAGCAGTGAAATCTAGGACGTGCGTTTCGCCTTATTTGGGGCTCGTCGGCCGGATGTCCCTGAATCTCAGATTTGATGTTCATTCTGGGACTATTCGCTTCAAACGCCACCGCATTATCCACTTAGCTACTGAGTTCTGATAGCCAATTGTTTGTGCAATGGGGTGAAGTTTAATTCATTTGGCATATGTGCATACTGTGTGTGTTTGCCTTGATATTGCCTTAATTTACAAGCATTATAAGCAAAGATGGATTGTGGCTAGAAGTGCAATCCTGGATCCGCGTTTCAATTAAAACAATACCAAGTGAAGTAGCATTAATAATTTCCATTTCTTTTTTGGTTGTTTTGAAATTTGTCACAGGTTGTCAAACTCAAACAAGTAGAACATACATTGAATGAGAAAAAAATTTTACAAGCAATCAATTTTCCTTTTCTTGTCAGTATGGATTTTAGTTTTAAAGTAAGTAAATGTCAAACTAATAATTTCTTATTAGCCACAATGAATAAAATTATCAACATTTTGTTTAATATATAAATATGTGTTATTGTTGTTATTGTTGTTTTTAAACTTACTGTTCATTGACTGATGACATTAGATAGAGATTGGACTATACAATAAAATGATTAAAGTTAAAATCTTATCAGTTGAATGGGTCATATTCATAGGTAAACATTAGGAAGTATTAGATTTTAAACATGATGAAGTCGTGGATAGACACTGTCATGACTTCCTAGTTGTTGTTTTTTTTTAATATCATCTTGAATTGTGTTCCAATTGACGTTGGTCTAAAGTGAATGTCACTTTAAATAAATCTTTGTATTAATTTTCATAATACTCTCGCTACATAGATATCAAACTATTTTCATTAATTGTTTTTAGTTAGCTTTTAATGACAACCTGAGTTTTTCCTCAAATGAACGAGACTTTCACCCCGATAAAAAATGATCTGGGCATATTTAGCTACATGTTCATTGTTGAATCAATAAAATTTACGATTGTATTCGTTATCTGATCAGTAAAATTAGAGAACAATAAGAGTCAAACAACATAACAATTGTTTATATTAAAGAATGATTGACGTGATCATTTTGATGGTAGATGGATGTTGGAAATGGAAACAAAAGTTATGAGAAGAACAACAGGACACAAAATGTATAAACATAGTTAATGTTGATACTTATTTATATGCTGGAGAAAATAATCTTACAGAATACAGGGAGTAATGTGATCATTAATAATAAACATCTTTAAGAAACAATGAATGTGTAGTCAGAATGAAAATAGCTAATAACTACATAATTACTGAGCATAAATTAAAACTAAAATGAAATGAATACGTTATCAGTGATAAAAAGATGTAAGAGATAAAAAGAGATTGAAAGCGACAAAAGTTGATTCAAGAAGGTTATTCGATCTCAATCATAGTCATTATTGTAAGGAGAGGCGATGCATGATCTTCTTCTGTTTACATATATCAGAACGGAAACGTTTGATAGCAGTTGTCTTATCAAACCAACGTAAAATTAATGTTGGTTGTTTGTTAATTATTTGAATGAAAGACTAATATTCACTATATGTTTACCATCTATCAAGTACCTCCAAATGAACTTGTGAAGATTATTGCTTTTCAAAAGTACGTACCCAGAAATCTGTTTAAGAAACCTAGTCTAAGTCTTTCGGAAAGCAAAACCTTCGTATTTAATAGTTTTTCAACAATACTGAAGGAACAAGTGATAGGAGAATTATACCTCTTACTAAGTTGGTTTTTCTATACAACACTGAATGTTCGTTAAATAATTCAAAGGTAGATCGGTACATCTCCAACATCACTTCCAGATTAATTTATAGATTTAGATGTACCTGGGGTAGCAGCATATATTAAAAGGATGGGAAAAAGAGTTTCTACCAGGTTTCATGAATACTCTAGACAAGTGATAGATAATAGACATGTTATAGATATCAGTCATCCCTTCAAATAATTAACGAATAACCAATATCAATTTTACTCTACTTCACTATAACAACTGCTAATAAACATTCCAGATCTGACCTGTGTGAAAAGAAGAGTATAATAATAATTAGTTCAATGCTTCCAGGTTTTCCATGGTGGTCTAGCTTCAATTGACTCATGATCTCAACTATTGAAATTGCCACAATCTCCACGAAACCCCTTCTGATACTAAGTTCTTTAATTATTATTTCTAATATTAGTTATCGGAAAAGTAACGCTCTCCCCAAACAAATAATTCGTTATTACTATGCATAGTCATTTAATATATCTTTTGGAATACTTAACAATTCATGATGTGACAGTGTTCATTCTTTAATTTATTAGGCTAGTGCTAGTTACTTTTCATTTAATTTGTTATAAACAGAATGCGTATTGATTTTCAAGTTTTTGATGCCAAAAAAAAAATACACAACAATTTTCCAATGATTTTCATCATGATACAAAATATATTTAAGCATAATTGTTGAAAACAACATGTATTAAAGTGCAAATTTTTAATAAAAAAAAAGTAACGTAACATCGTCACGAATGTAACATTACAATGACAAGTTGAAAAGAACATAATATAAACCATTATATTTGTAAAGTTAAAAGTGTAGTTTGAGCTGAGATCGCAAACCGTAGACGTCATTATATCATTCTAGGCACTATACGTAATGTAGTTTAAAAATACTTAAAAATAGTGAATGCATAGTGCCAATAATTACATGCTTACTACTCAGATTGTTTTTCGTATTGAGATATATTAAAGTAGTATGTAATTATGTCTCAGAACTAATTAAGATTCAGTATATTTTTGTATGATCTAAAGTTATTATTTATTACGAAACATAACAGCTGGAGAACTTCAGAAAAACAAGACGTTGTTGCACGGCTATTTCTTCCTAGTTATGATCACATTACAAGTACAATTCTATGGTCACTAATAGGATTAAACCACAGACCTTAATACGTTGAGGTGATCACAATATAACTGAGTAACTAAGGTGAAATTCAATGATGAACATTTTCAATTTAATTCGTTTATGATATGGTGTGATTCGCACTCTAACAAATGACTAGTATTCATCCATCTCAATACTTCATCTCGAGAACCATCTTGTTACGTAATAAATTGATGCTCCCTATTGACTAACCTTAAAATGGATTTCCAGAGTTTCTGATACAGTACAGTGACCTGAATAGTCAACCAATTAGAAAGTAAATTACTAACGCAAAGCTAGTAATAGAAACGTATAGCCGTATATGACAAAATATCTGTAGTTAAAATTGAAAAAAACTTTGACATCTAGCTACATAGCTTGTTGTAATCTTTTTTCCGCATCAAGACCATATTTGTGGACGCAAACTATAGGAAACTTAAAAACTAGAATGAAAGAACTTAAGATGTAAATTTCAATTTTTCCTCTTTTTCCATCCTGATGACTGATTAACATAATTGAAGTTCAACGTAAATTTAGCTATAATTTGTTTAAATTTGACTTTCTTTTATATGCTAAAATTCCAAATCAAAGGATAATTCAAATTTGTATATGGTACTTGAGTTTGTCAGTGGAGGTGAAATGTTTTCCTATTTAAGAAGAGTTGGGAAATTTAGGTAAGATATACAAAACTTTTGCAACATAATAACTTTTTTTCATTTGTATATAGCTGAAATTAGAAATGTGAATTCGTCAGTACTTCTGCTCAACGTGATAATTTTTTATTACTAGTTACTAACTAATTTCAAGAAGCGTTCAGTACATTCCATTATTTTCCTTTGTGACAATCTTTAGAAAATAAGTTTAACAATTGAATGTGTATACGTTTAGTTGTCTAAATAATAATAATAATAATAATAATTGCTTGTAAAAAGTCATGGACATTGAAGAACAACCAAAAGACAGATACCTATCTGTTATGTTCTTTATGACCCTGCTTATTATCATATGAGTAAAACACCGATTAGAACACCGACGTATATGAGCTTGGCATGGTGCCAAACCAATGACGCGTTAACCGTTACGAGCTGCCTAGAGCCTACTCTTAGTCCCTAATATTTCTTCTTGCCTTGCCCTGCTTGTTAAGTCCAGAACGCAATCTCAGCATCCACTGTATGAATCATGTACTTCATGCATACTCAGTCCATATACAACTAAATCAGACCGTATTATACCATAAAACAAAAAATAACAATTATACAAGATCAAGACAAAAGTGGATGTGAGTGTGAGATAGTGTAACTAATAAATCGGAAATAAGTTAAGAATTGTAAGTCGTATAATAGTAGCTAATAGGTCAACTAAAAGCATATGACAAGAGAAATATGAATATATATAATTTACCTATTTAATAGTTATACAATAAGAATGTATATATAATAACTAATTAGAATTAGTGATGAACAATCAGTAAAACAGACAAAGTTGTTTGTACACAATATTTCAACATAATTTTAGAGGAATTCCTAAAAATGTCATTCTCCGATTTCAACACGACGTAGTGAGTCTTTATAAATACTACTAAGTGTTTACTTTACTTTGTATAAACGACTTACTCCAACAAAATTACGACATTTCTGTATTGACAAAACTATTCATCATCAATCTTAATAATCAATATTGTGTGTATAAATCTATCCTCCAACTATGGTCACAGTAGATAGTTTGATTAAGTAGTAATTTGCTTAGGAGTAAACTGTTAAATTGTAAGAGGCTACTGATAAAAACTTAGAAATACAGATATCATACCAGCTGACATATTTCATACCCTAAAGGAACTGATACTTTTACTAGAAAATTTACCTCTATCACCTAATGACACCAACTTATAAAAAGGGTCCTCCTCATCCGATATGTACAATTGCGAATATGTTTAAGTCAATGAAATTCTATGTATCAGTTAGAGAAATTGTTTCAACAGGGCTTCAAACAATACGTACAGTTTCTTTTTATTAAAGAACTTATTAAATATACAAAATAATTGTTCTTCTCTATTTCTGTTCATACTCTAGCGAAGAAGATTCACGTTTCTATGCAAGTCAAGTTGTACTGGCATTTGAATATCTGCATTCTTTTGACTTAATCTACAGGGATTTAAAACCCGAGAATTTATTGATTGCTAGTGATGGTTATTTAAAAGTAAGTTGTATGATTAAACAACAAAACTAGTTAAAATTGATTAGTTCGACTTTTATTTAGGTCCAATGTACAAACATGATCAAATATTTCAATATTTGAAGTATTGGCTAAATGTCTGCATTTCCAATAAATGAATCAACGAGCCAAATATTATCAATTCTATAAGGTTAGAAGACCCATAAAAACCCCTGCAGTTTGTAGTAAATTGAAAATACAATATAGGCTTTAACGTATCAGAGGAAGGTATTAACAGTACATGCTTCAGTGGAATCCAGGACGCGCGTTTCGTCTTATTTAGGACTCGTCGGCCGGATGTACCTGAATCTCAGAGTTGATGTTCATTCTGGGACACGAACCCAGTACAATTCGCTTCAAACGTCATCGCGTTATCCACTCAGCTACTGAGTTCTGATAGCCAGTTGCTTGTGCAATGGGGTGAATTTGAATTCACTTGGTATAGTTTGGCGTTTGAAGCGAATGGTACTGGGTTCGAATCCCAGAGTGAAAATCAACTCTCTGAGACTCGGGTACGTCCAGCTGACGAGTCCCAAATAAGACGAAACGCACGTCCAGGATTCCACTGCTAGCCACTGTCCATCATTGCTTACAAATGGCTTGTGAATTAAGGTAATATCGAGGCATACGCACAATATGCACATATGCCAATAACAGACTGATCAATTGCAGTCTTATACCTCAATGGGAAGATACAAGCCAAACAATACCAAGTGAATACATGCTTCAGTACGGATTCCAGTACTTTACGACGTTTTGATATGAATAAGCTTTCAGGTGATTTTGGTTTTTCTACTTTCTGTGAATTACCTTTGAAACTATCACCCTTAGATGAAAGGGACTAATAAGTTATGTTATTATCTACATCATCGTTTAGCTAGCGAAACTTTCCTTTAAGATTATCTCTTAACATATACTAAAGTAGTAGAAAGAGATTAAAATATTTAACTTTCAATCGGGAATATCAGATATTTATCCAATATTTAAAGCAACAGTTCTTTGTTCATATCTCATCTTAGAGATGTGTTTGGATATAGCAGGTATGATATTCTCAAATTATCCACATCAATCAATGGAGATCGTTTGAACTATTAAAATTGTTACATTTTACATGTTACATATTTTTCTCAAGTTACTGAATATATTCTCAATACCCCTTTATTAGATCTGTTGGATGAACCTTCAGTATAACAAAAAGTATTTCACTGAAATGTTAATAAGGCCTTGATTTTAACATATTTATCTGTTACGCTTATTGTTCCTTTTTAAAGTGTATGAACTGATTCCTCAATTTTTTTTGTCCATTTTTGAAAAAAAAAATCATTCTAGGTTAGTGAATCCTCATACAGTTAAGTTCATGTTTCGTTTTTCAGATCGAAAACTCTATACATTTTGAATTCATCTCCCATAAATGTACTTTGATAAGATAATCTACATCAAGCAATGTTATCCTGATTAATATATAAATTTGACTGAATATATTTGATTGATTTAACTTCTTTTCCCTTTAAAAAGAAAAAAAACAACCCTGTTACTTTTTTATTTATTATTAACCATTAGAAAATACATTGAATTCTGAATATACACATTAGTTTAAATGTTATAAGACAAAATATTGTTGGTTATTTTGACTATTTAACAAACCAGGTGCACTGATAAATTAGTTTATCCTGATATAAACAGACTGTAGTTACTTTTTTTTCAGCATAAAGCAACGTGAATGACAAAGAAACATGATAGAATCAGTTCATTCATTCAACATATCTAATCTAATTAACATTATCCTTTCGAATTTATTAGATAATTTTCAAATATATATATATGTATCAGTGTATCTAATAGAATTATTTAGATATCACTGTTACTTTTTTAAAAATAGTGAGCTGTTTCATTCCTTTTTTCACCACTTGATTTCTAGTTGAATAAACTAATAACCAAGTATTCATTAAATACTTCAAAATATCAGTATAGGATTGTGGAGATTATTAAGTTTCTGATTGAGATCATGAATTGATCCTGCTCTCGGGATGGTTGTTACGCACTGCTGAGGAGTCACACAATAAGGCGAAACGGCGGTCTAGTGCTTCCATGTTTCCAATGGTGGTCTAACATCAATCGATTCATGATCTCAATCAAAAACTTCAAAAAATATTTTTACGACATTTTAAGGAGAAAATATAACTTGAGTAGACAATCAAGTCATAAATGAAACAATAATTTATTCATAACATTGAATAAAGATTATTTTCTATCATTGGTTGTTACATACTGGTTAAAAAAATTTTCAAACTATTATTCTCAGTTCCTAAGTTGACTTCAATTAGTAATAAACATCATCATCAATATACAATGAGTTATTCATTTTAAATAACCTACTGAGTAATAAAAAAGTTTATATTTTGATTTAACATGAAATGTTCCGTCGACAAACAGGACATCAATTAATAAATGTAGATAGTTTTCCTAAAATTCTAATCTCATTGCCAAACATCGACTTCTTTCAATGTAATCATTGGTAATTTTTTGTCAACCTATTCAAACGTTAAAGGCTATCTTCAAATTTTTAAAAGCTATTTAAAAAGTGAAGTAAATGTTTTTGTACATCAAGAGTTTGTTCATTACAAATATATATAATAGGTACTTTTCTTCTATTTTCATTAGGTTACCGACTTTGGATTTGCCAAAAAAATCAAAGGACGAACATGGACATTATGTGGAACACCAGAATATCTTGCCCCCGAAATTATTCTAAGCAAAGTGAGTATTATTTATTATGTACATTGGATTGTAACTGTGATAAAGTTACTTAAGACAAGACAAGACAATAAAACATTAACCAATATCTGGTTGTCGTGATCCAATTTGCTTATTGCTCTAATTTATCAGGCATACCAGAAAGTGTCAGCTGCTTCATAATCGTAGATATGCCTTATGAAGTTAATATTACGTTTCTTGTAAGATGTCCTATCTGATTATTATCTCATTCTCATTGTTGTAGTTTAAAGTACCTAGACTCTTTTACCCCTAGTCGTTGATAATGAGTGATCACTAAAGGATAGTTATAGACCAACTACAATATCACTCGTGCCCAACGCGATTACCAATCCTGAAGAGACTATCGTTCTTCCTTTGTTTAAGCTTGTTAGGTCTTATTTTTTTAAATGAAAAGTAATGAAATCGAATGCTTTAGATGCTAATCATAAGAAATACTGGAGTTGGAATTATCCCTTTTCGGTAGTATAATGTTTATTAAGAATTATCATGTCGGAACCAATTTTAAACAATTAAAAGAAAACATTCTGCTAACTCTACAAAATACTAAAAACTAATAACAGCGATAACCATAAACATTCTTGATTATCATAATCATAAAATGTGATAAATGATGGAAATAACGACCATCATATTATCTGACCTTTCAGAAATGTATACTACAAATATTGGGAAACTATGAAAGGAAATGGAACAAATCAAATACTTCTATTGTTGCATTTTCTGTAACTATATTTCGTTTTGACTGTTGTTAACATGATGTAACACGAATGTTAGCCCAATTAGCCTTGATTAAGGTTGATGTTATGTTCATACCTTAAGTATAACAAAGTAGTACACTCTGGTGTAATATATTCTAACAAAAAAAATCTTAAGAACGTTTTTAATTATGCTGGCTATAGCTTGATTTGTTCCGCTTGTAAAAAGGTATATACTTCCATACAGCTTTGAGCAAAAAAACCTATTTATTAGCCTCCGTTGAAAGTCTAGAGGTTTCATATAACAAGACAGGTTTACATCGAATATATTCATGAATTATAGTAATATGTGTTTGATAACTTGGTTATTAAATTAATCAGCCAAGGGATATTACCAGGCATACAGGCACTAAAACAACCGAAGATTACTTATGGCATTTAAAAAATGATTGTGGTGGTATTAATTTATAGTTCGACAAAGGTGTCTAGTACAATAATACGCTGTTTATGCCATTTGAATATAAAACTTACTTCAAAAGTCAATAAAATCCACTGTATGTAGAAATGTATGTTGGTTAGCAGTGGAATGAAGGATGCGCGTTTCATCCAATTTGGGACTGATCAGTTGAACTTAAGGCAATTCCGAAGCAATTCACACAGGATGCACGAATGCACGCAAGCTAAAGATGTTTAAAATATACTGAAATAAACCTTGATGCACATCCCTTAAGATTATATTTTTTAAAAATACAACCTGAAGCATAGAATTACCAATACAAGTAAAACGAAAGAAACCCTTGCAAACTTTTACAGTTAAATAAGTATCTTTTAGTAATATATAAATGACAGAAATTCATGCTAATTAGTAGAACCGCTATTAACACAGTTCATTATTTATTCCATACTCATCTATTTACCGAATGTTTAAGGAAATACATGTTTAAATGAGTATTTTTGTGCTATAATTAACCGTTCAAAATCTAAATTCAGTGGTCATATAGATAACACAAGGTTTACAAACATAGGTGATTAGTTTAAGAAGGAACATTGAATGGTTCTCCAAAACACTATATTTCAAGCATAAAATTCGTGGTTCCGAATTTCGATTTATAATGTAATTTTTTGACTAGTTCTTCCATTTTTCTACTGCTTTATTTATGAATAAATCGATAAATGAAACTCTAGGGCTACAATAAAGCTGTGGATTGGTGGGCACTGGGTATTTTGATTTATGAAATGGCTTGTGGATATCCACCATTTTTCGCAGATCAACCTATAGAAATTTATGAGAAAATTGTTGCTGGTAAAGTAAGTCTACTGTGTTTGTCACTAATACTTCCTAATAACTTCAGAATAAAGTATCACATTCTTTCTATCGTCACTGGGATGACCAATAATAGCCGAACTATAATTTATGGACGAACCAATCAAATATAAAATAACATGTCTCGGATTTCGGTGAGAAATTCACTCATCCATTTGGCTAAATAGAGTTTTGGCAATATAGCTGATGTTAGTTTGTGATGAAAACCCTAGATCTAATACCTAACCTTAACCATAAACTGTAAATCTTAATTCTAAATCCTCACATTGGTTTATAACCCTCTTTTGGTCCTAGTTATCAGATAGACACACTCAAGGTCAGTTTAGCGTCGCTCAAACGTCGTCCGTAAATTATAGTCTCACTTCAATAAGTCTCTACAAATTTAAAAAACTGCTTGTGTATAAAAAAAAGGGCTTAAATACCATCAAAAATGTATGAAAATACAATAAAGTACTCTTAATACTTGAACGTTCCCTAGACAACGGTCAGTAGACAATATAAATAGTGACAGGCTTTTCGATGATTTCTTAACACATATGAATTCACTGCTAAGCATTGATTCATTTCAAGCATGATTGTTTACAATTTTTTTCATAATAGGCTGTATATTGACTTACAAACATGATAATTACGTCAAGGATTTCAACCGAAGCGTATTTTAATGCGATTTACATGTGGTTTATGAATAATGATATACACAACTCCATCATATGACGGTATAGGTTGGCATATGTGACTTGTTGTAGAATATTATTATGCCGCTTCTGTATGTGAACATGGTTGTTTCTTCGAATTATAATGTTTATCCTGAGAGATAAACAGTCTATCATTGTTTACTTCCTATCGTCTTAATATATTGTGAAGGTTGTGACATTTCAGTTTTTGAAAATAATAATCACAATAAAAACAATAATAACTAATCAAACAAACATGTGAAACTTGATAATTTTTTGTTCAGTATTCATTTTCCCCAAAAGCCTATTCTTCACGCTAATACCATGAATATAATTAGGATCCGTAAAAACTTTAAGATAGCTTGATTTGTCTATTTTCTGACACTTGCAAATCTTATTTTCATTTCTCATATTTTCACAAACTATCGTATCAATAGTTTATCAGCTATCGTTATAATTAATATAATTACTAATTAGATATAATTGATCATCATTGAATTTGTTTACTGGTTAAAAATGCATACAGACTTTTCCTATTTTCTATTCATTTATTAAGAGCTCACTTTCAGATTCATGCAGAGAAAAGCCTACAACTTTTGAGATATTAGTGGTAGTCATGGTACAAACAAGTCACCAAGTTGATACTTAATAATTAGCATTTTGCATTTTGGCTTAATATGAAATATAAAATGACTATGGCTGATATCGTTATTGAACATCGATTAGGATAGTCAAACATACAGAGTAGTTCGGTTAATTAGTATCATTATTCTCAGCTATGCTAAGTACAAATTCATCCAGTCATTACCTTTACAGTTATTTTTTTGTTTGGGATAGTTTAAGAAGACAAATACTTCTAACAGAACAAATTCAAATACTGGTACAAAACCAGTTTTGCACAAGACGCCAAAATAACAACTAAGTATTGGTACCGCATAGTTATTAAATTATTAAGTAGTTAGATGAATACTGATTGAATGATTGACTAGCCTTGAGAAACGAATAAACATTTATTTAACAAATCTATATTATTCAACCCCAAATTAATGTATAACTTATTATTTATTCATTTATTTTATAATTAATTTAATTTCTTTGTGTTTTGTACTTTTATTAGGTGAGATTTCCCGGACATGTTAGTAGTGATCTGAAAAATCTTCTTAAACAATTGTTACAAACAGATTTAACAAAACGTTACGGTAATTTAAAAAATGGTGTCGATGATATCAAATGTCATAAATGGTTCCGGCCAACGAATTGGGTTGCAGTTTATCAAAAAGAAGTGGGTATTCATTATTCCTATTGCTAACACTTTTGTACTACAACATACTTTTCGTACCTTTGGTGGTTATCTGCACAACCCGTACAGTTTTCCAGGACGAACAGTATCTGTAAAACCAGTTCAGCATTAAATGATGATCAAAGATTGTTTGACATAGAGAACTGATATTAGTATGGATATAGGGGTTGTGGAGATTATTAAGTTTTTGATTGAGATTATGAACCATTGACAGGTATCTACTTCAGTACAATGGAAGGTGGTCGCGCAATTTTGTGGATTGGTTGACGTCAGACATTAACATCACTGGATGCTGGCTCAGTGGTCCAGTAGGTTAAGCATTCGCGCGCGAGATTGAAGGCCCTGGGTTGGAATCCCGCGAGGTGGCGAGACCGTGAATGTGCACTGCTGAGGAGTCACACAATAGGACGAAACGGCCGTTCAGTGCTTTGAGGTTTTCAATGGTGGTCTATCATCAATCGGTCCATGATCTCAATGAAAAATTGATATTAGTTAAAGTAAATGGTAACGGTACAACCTAAAAGCTTTAGTTAAACTTAGTGAATGTTCATAATAAGACATTGATTAATGCTTGTCATATAGTGCCATGTATTTCAGTGATTTGATTGAATTGACGGATGTGAATTGAACACAATATATTTCGAATCTACAGTCATAGACAAGTTCCATTTTGACATTTAGAAACAATCCATAAATTATTTTAATAAAATGTTAAGACAGATGTGTAACCAGTTATCACAGAAGATTACCGGTCTTGTCAATGTATCTTAATAAGGTAGTCCATTACATGTTTAATTTTAATTTTATGGAGTGTTCAATGTGATTTACAATAGTGGTAGATTGGAATAACTAATTTTGTTTATCGATTACGTCTCTTCTGATTGAGATTGTAGTTAGCGACCCATTATTTATATAGAGAGATGATTCTTGTTAGTATAACCAAGTTAATGGAGATTGTAGAACTTTCATAATTTAAACCAAGAATCAATCTTAGCTAGACCATTACTGTAAACTGAAAAGCACAAACAGCTGTTTGGTCCTCACACAGGAATCCTCAATAGTGCTAAGAACATGAAGCTTGAAATAACTATACACTGATCCTTAAAAAAAAAACATTTTCAGCCTGTTTACTTCCTCGGATCACTAACTAACACTTATATCAAAATGATTATGCCGAATACCTTTTTTACTGGAATTTTTTATTCAAAGCCTACCTACTATTAATAGAAAGCCCTGATATCAGAGGTAAATCGATCCTTTCCCATTGGTGAACAATAAATAAATTTAAATTTAACCATTTATCCGAAATAGAATGTGTAATATTGTATGACTTTATAGTAGTCAGTAAAATTTCTAATAATCTCACAACCATTCTTTGCTTGATATTTTGGAGACAATTCTCATACACAATGTTAAGTGATTTTAAACTTCCTGTCTTCCTTCCTAGAAATCATTTCAATCTAAATGAAAATGAATTGAATGGCAACTATTAATATTTTTTTGGGTATAATTATCTAAGAAACCATATTATTTTATTTATTTTTATTTAAAACAACCCTAAACCTACTGAAGAATAGATGAAATTCTAGCCAGTTTATAATCTATGTACCACACTTAGTGCTTTTATCTAAGACTATAGAGGTATAGATATTATGGTGTATAAATTTATTATTAGTTCGCCTTTGTTTGTGGCTTCTTTTTCATTTCCAACAACTTAAAAAGGGCCATATGCAAAGGTATTATCTACTGATCTTATAAACTATTACTTCAAGAAATGGATTACAGTGTGTAGATTATGAAGCATGTTATTTTCACCTATATTTTTGAAAATATTCGTCAGTGGAATTTGATTTAAAGATGAATGATTAAGACAATTGTCTTTAAACCTGGAGGACATGAATATGACCACTGTTGGTATCGTGGGTCCTCATTGCCTTGAAACCCTGAAATAAGGGTCATAATCGCCCATTGTTAGGAAGCTCGAAATTACAGGGAAAGAACTGCCTGGAGCTACACGGTCTTCAGTAGTTTTTACCCTTATATCAATTTATGACAGAAATAATTTTCAAATTATACAAAACTTCATAAGACATCATCGTAAATTGTAGGTTTATTATAATTTCTAAAGGGGGAAAATCGTACATTTGAGGAATCAAGTAGTTCAGTAATACCACTAGGCTAAGTGACACAATGGCTCAGTACATTTTAGCCACAGTTAAATATTAAAATAAGCTAAAAATAACTAGTGGATAAGTCTGAACTAATGTCACCGCCATATAGATATAAATTGTTAGCGGAATACACCCCTTCCTAACGAATATAACTCCTTATTGGTAAGAAGTATTATTCCACATGTCTTTTCAAAGAGCTATCTAACAGTCTGAACTAGAAATAATACATTTAATTTTCTGTCTCACTTTGTTGCCTGAGCATACTTACGCTTAGTAAAAATAATCAACTATTTTTTTTGTAAACTGATGCCCTAAAACTACCTTGTAACTTCGTGATCGATTCACAGAATCATTCCGACTTATTTTATCATTATAACTATCATTATGATTACAATTTTTATGATGATAACGCGCATATTTTAAAAACTTTGTTTTCTAACGTTTTCAGATATGTGCTCCATTCTTACCGCCATGTAAAGGGCCCGGTGACACAAGTAATTTCGATGATTATGAGGAGGAACCACTTCGAATATCTAAAACAGATTATTGTTCAAAAGAATTTGAAGAATTCTGACGAAAAACGAATCAAAGTGAATGAGTTAAATACACAAAAGACATTTAAATCAAACCTCATTAACAGTGCTTATTTTTTATTTCCAGGTTTCATTTCAAATCCCAGTATGTGTTTGATACACTCGTCTGAAACTTTGGGGCACATGGAATGAAAATAGACGAAAGATAAAACATTAATTAGGCACATGAATTTATGTGTGCAAATACAAGATCCTTAATTTTCGGTACTATTAAATCATTCATTATGTGTATATGTGTGTACAAGTATGTAACGAACACATTTACACCTAAATATGTTTTGATACCGCCTTTTATCACGATACTTTTAATGAACAAATGATGCCATAAAGTATCTAGTCTAATTTGTATATTTTAAGCCTTCCTATCATTTTGTATGGATTAATACAAGTTCACTAACTTCTTAGTTTATGAGGTTGAAACTACTCAGAATTTTGTTTACTTTGTTTTCCCTGTAAACTATCATATTTTTATTCTGTAAATGAAGTAATAATTAATCACTGAATGTCACTATTGTTTTTGAGGGGGGGGAGTATTCGCTATCCATCATAAATGTATGTTTATTGTATATCTACATATATTTGAATACTGTGGTATACATAAATATTTGTGTAACCCAAATGTACGACTGTCTTTTTTTAGGTACAAAACATGTCTATGGTTGAAATATTATTTTATTTATTAGAAGAAAAAGTTACAGAAAGTATTCTATAACTGTATAAGCTTCTGAAAAAAGATTTCTCTCTTTTTAAAAAAACCTATATTCCTGAATTTTATTAGTAGTACAGGGAAACAATATGGTTGGTTTTATTGAATACCTTCGAATGTTTGTCACTTTTATCTATCAAAAAACTGACTACTCACAAGTAGCTAAGCAAGTATTTAAAAACTTTGACCGTTATTTATTTATATGAAAATTTATTAACAGTCATCATTTGATTTAGATAAGTTTTCACAGTTACCCCTCATTTATATGTGACATTCTTAATAAGTTCTTATTCAGTACATGTGTACAGCCGTCAAAATTTGGACATCAATAAAATGTAGAACCCATCATTAAATACTCCCCTGGATTATTGGTATAAATTAGTACACAGATCATTCATTGTCCAATATGACACACGATTCTCATGGAAGCCGGGGTTAAAGTTCTCTAGAATATTCCTAGATTCAATTATCTTTTAGATCAAGTTCAATGTGAAGTGATTCTGTAATGAAAGAATACAGTACTATTAACGATGGAAAGCAATAGTATCAAAATAAAATGATAAATGAAGAAGTAATAAAAATTAAAATGGTGCGTAACACGCGCAAAGGAAAACTGCTGAGTGCAACGGTAGACAATTTATTCGCTTTTTACTTTTTAAGAGTCTTATTTTCTGTAGTGTGATTCTTGATCAAAGTACGTGTTTGTCTATCTGTTAATGCAATTATTAATGTGTTCTCAAATTCGAATTTTACGCCGCTGAATTTGTCTGAAATTCCTCTCTAGTTCCATTATTAGTACAAAATATATTAATCCATAAAGTCTCGAAATCGACTAGTGAGGCTACATTGTCTAACTAAAGGTGAGCGTCTGAGTCATTAAATTTTGAAAAGTGATTTTAAGAGGCAGCACTCTAGAGTCAGATTAAGTTTAGAGATTCCACATTCAAAATTAGTTTGTAAGCTAGTTGGTTAATCTTCCTATTTTCAATATCTGAATTAATTTATACACCTTATACTATTGATTTTAAAATACTTTGTTCGAAATATGATATTGAATTTCTTTTGAGAATACACTTCCCTAATTGTTTACTGCTGAAATTTGATGTACTTTCAGATATACTTTCCGTCCTGAATAATTCATCTGGCACTTCAACTTTAGGAAAATAACTTTGTTGATATTTATACAGTCTGACGGACCAACTTCAGTCTAGTATTCTTGTACTGCACTAAAACCTAGGAGTATAATATTTGGAATTTTGTTTTGTAAAGATGTTGTGTTTGTAACCAACGAAGATAACTTTTTACATTATTGTGCGCGTTATTCTAACTTCAGTTCAATAAATTCACATGTGTAAATGGTTATACTTTTTACTTGAATAATGGTCTACTTTTGACTATTAGAGTACATTTTGAAAAAATCCTTGGGATTACTAGTTCAAATAATACATTCATTACTATTACTACTTATACTAGAAGACCTGAATCATTTCGATAAACGTCAATTTCGAACACACTTATAACAAACAGTCTTTACAATTTCACTTTTATCTACAATACTAACTTTTAACACACATATGTACGAATATTGTCTGTCATTTTTATTAAGCCCCTTATCTTATACTTTAAAATACTGGTCGTATGTAACTTTCTAGCTTATCTTGCATAATCGTGTGGTATTTAATTGAAATCTTTTCCACTTATTTATTATTACACTACGTTTTTAACAACTTTTCTAAGTTAATATAAATTTCAAGAACTCTGTTTTACTACAATGATCATCTCTGTAAAAATAATGCATATCTGTTCTGACATTAGTAAATATCATTAATGTTCAAAACTTGCCAAACCATCAGACACAGCAGTGCATCTTATTATTTCCGTTAGTGATGTCAAATTTAACAGTTAAAATCAAATAATTTACATAAACCTGAGAACTATATATATATATATATATATATATATATATATATATATATATATATATATATATATATATATATATATATATATATATATATATATATATATATATATATATATATATATATATATGCATAGAAAGAGTGACTAATATATTTAAATTCATTTTACTTGTCCATGGAATTGAAATTAGTCACGTTCCTGTTAAGCGTGTGATATGATTTAGTTTAACCAGAAACTTCTTTTCGTTGCACTGGCTAACGGTTGAAGATGCCACAGGTATTAGGAGTTTGACAACGCTTTAACCAGTAACATCTAATATGGATCGTACCCACAAAGTGAAATCAAAAGACAGAAGTTAAGTGGTTCGAAGATATATTTGATAGGCTATCAATATATCTGGGATCGTCGGATCTAATCTGGCTAGCGATTGCAGTGGATGTTAAAAACGGCATTCCCACTCGTGATATGGTGCGGATGCATGACCGAGCGCCTTCAGCTAGGTGAGTCCACTAAAACTAATGCGGTCAGCATCCAATGTCGAAGACTTACAAAGCTATTTATTTTGGGGATTTATTTAACGCTACAGCTCACTACCGCCCTAGTGGGCTAGTGATGACCCTAAGACGTGGCCAGCCAGAATTGTTAATTCACCAAGTTTGTTGTTGGTAAACATTCTTCTGATAGCTTGCTTGGTTTAGCAGCGTCTGGTCGTCTTTCCTCAATTTAAGGGACCATGAAATACAATATAGTAAACGAAAATAATGTACAATGAAAGTTTTTGGTTCCTCGTAAATCTCATCGTTCTTTTTATCGTCTTTTCCAGCTGTCCTGGAAAAGAGAAAAAATATGTAAGTACAAATCGAAATAAACTCGTACGTGCTTTAAGACACATAGTGGGTTAAAAAAAGTAAATAACGCAAAATTTGTTTAAACAAAATGTTTGTATTTTTGTTTTAAAATTTTTTTTAATATACATATTAGTCAAATAATAAATATATATAAATATAAGCATATAAAAATTGATTTTTTTGATATTATATATAATGCCATGGAAAATCGAGATGAAACAAATGTTGACTGGTGTCTTACGTGCACTAGTCGTTTAAATGTTCTGGGAATCTTATTCTACTCCCAGAACGCAATGCTTTAAGTTTATTCTCTGATACTGCCGAAATATCATCGTGCATGGTAGCTGTCAGATGAGGCGTTATATGTGTAGGAGCCGTGCTGTTCGATTGTACCGAAGGACAATCAACGTGAATAGGTTGCCCTTCCAAATACACTGCTTTGAGGTGATCGATGCTGATGCTATCGTTGGTTCCGTTCTTATCAACTGTATAGTACTTAGGTTCGCGTTGAAGAACTTTGAAGGGTCCTTCGTATGCTGATTCGAGGTGTCGTTGATGTGAGTCTCGACGAACTAAGACGTGTGTACTATATCGTAAGTCAGGTTGAACAAAAACATCAGTTGATTGCGGTCGAGAGGAAACAGGTTTAACTGAACGCATTGCGTTTGTAGGCCTGTTCGTGAAGCAGGTTAGGTCCATGTTTATTGAAGAAGGTGAAGGGTCCACGAATTCTCCTGGAAGTCGAAGTTTCGTTTCATAAACTAGTTGAGCTGCAGTGTATCCAATGTCAGCTTTCACTGCATTGTGAATACCTAGTAAGACGAGTGGAAGAGCGTCAGTCCACTGTGAAACGTCTGCAGCTGATTGTGAAGCTTTTAGTTGTCGATTTAAACGTTCTACCAACCCGTTTTCTTGTAGGTGGTAGGCAGTCGTTCGGAAGCGAGTGATTCCTAAAAGTGTGGTCAAACAACGGAAAAGTTCAGATTCGAACTGGCGTCAACGATCTGTCGTGATGGTTGAAGGGCAGCCGAAGTTTGCTACCCAACGTTCGACGAAGACACGAGCCACAGTTTCAGCAGCAATGTCCTTTTCAGGTACTGCTTCTGTCAATCAAGTGAAACGGTCCACGCAAGTTAAAAGATAAGAGTATCCATTTGAATCTGGTAAAGGTCCTACCAAGTCCAGATGCATATGGTCGAAACGGGCATCAGCAGTTTTGAAAGAGCCTAAGGGACATTTGTTGCGTCTAATAACCTAAAATTTCTGGTAGCTTACACAGGAACGTGCCAACTCCCTCACGTCTTTATTCATACCAGGCCAGCAAAACCGTTTTGCTATAAGCTTCATTGTTGCACGAACACCTGTATGAGAAATTTTGTGCAACGTATTAAAGGCATTGCATCGATGATCTTTCGGAACGACTGGGCTATCCCTACCTGTAGATTTGTCACAAAGTAAGGTTTATTTACCTGTTCCCATCTGTTTGACGAGTAGCTTGAGGGTT